TCCAATGCTCTTCCCATACATTGGTTATATTACTGTATCGCTAAGTGTGGCTAAGGCTTGTAGAATCAGAATTCTGAACTTACCTTGATAGATGTTGGAATGTCATTGTCAGTCAAAAGGGCTAGATTTTTAAAAAATTATTAGCCCCAAAAACTCGAATCCTGAAGAAGACATCAGAAATTTCAAAAATGTATGAAGACATCTTGAATCCAAATGAATCTTCATGGAGCATATTAGACTCTTGGCTCTCATCTCCCACACATGAGTGTTTTCAGTTCAGCTATCTGGCTTATTGCTTTATGACTAATTGAAAAGAGTTTACATTCATGTAGAAAATGTGCTTGCAGTTACTGATTAGCATCTGGACCCATAGGCCACTGGACCAGCCACACATCCTGGCATGGCATGGGGCATGCTGCATGTGGTGTCCTGCTGGACCAGCCCTTCACATGGGTTCTGGCACAGCCTGATCTGGACCAGCCCTGGAAGCCAGCACAGGGCCTGTCCAGCAGGATACCACATGTAGAATGGACCCCGGACCTTACCCCCTGTGCAATCTGGGCAGCAGGCAGCTGTGATGTGACTAAAGCGTACACCCTCATCTCTGTGGTGTGAAGCTTCTCAGTCCCTTCGTTTGTTTTTCTTCAGAACATATGTAGGAGGTAGGCAAATCCTTTTACTCACATTTTACAGATGGAGAAATGAGCAGCAAAGACTGAAGGACAGCTTTATAAAGTAGTTGGAAACCTAGCAATGCAGCAAAGTGCCTGGTGATGCTTTTGAAAATAATACTTAGTGCCTATGAGTATCTTTAGACAATGGAATGTCTCTGAAGATCTGGCCCTGTGTCACTTGTCCATGATCACTGAGGAAGTTAGTATCAAGTTTGGGATCCCTTGAACTCCTAATAGAACAGGACTCTGAACCTGATTCTGGCCTATGGATGCTAAGGTCATACGCATTTTATATGTACATTTTATTTACAGCATAAATAAAAGAAGCCAGCCCAGCCTGGCTTCTTTACTTTTCATTCTACCCAGGAAGAGCACACAACAACTATTGAAATTTCCTTAGCCTGATGAAGGGTTTTGGAACCCAAAAGCTTGCTTAATAATTGTTTTCCAACTATTTAAGTTGGTCTAATAAAAGATATCAGATTCACCCAAAGAACCTTGTCTGCTATTTACAGCATAAGAATCTTCTGTAGCTACTATACTAGAAACACATACATGCAGAGCAAAATAATTGTTGGACAAAGTTCTGAGCTCTATAAATCTCACAAATGAGCCTTTCCCAAAAAAGCAAAGGTGGCACAGGAACAAAATGCTGGCCTTTTTTTCTGTAGCGGTTCCTCAAACCCACTAGTTTACTTCTTTCTTGTTTAGACCCAGACTATATAGTACAGTATGGGGATACATGATTACAAAAAATGCTTGTGTTAAGCCAGTAAACACAGTATGCACCATCCTTTCTTTTCCCTAGATCAATCTTAATAACACTAGATTAGCTGGTTAATAATATGAGAAGCTAATCAATTCATTTAAGCTTCTTCATTGACGGTAAGAGTTAGAATTACCCATCATATCTTCTTTTTGTACTTAAAGTACAGTAATAAGCATTATGAATATTTGAAACTTGGGTTTGACTAAAAATTAAATTATCCTCACTAAAGTCAGTGAGACCAGATTCCACAGACCAGGATTTCACAATAATTATGGAATGTTATTTGGGACCAACTCACAAAGGTAATAAGGATTTTTAATTGGTGTTTTGTGGGGTGGGGTTTTGTAGATTTTCACAGCATTGCCACCCTTCACTCTGGGAATCTTTGAGCGATCATGTACACAAGAGAGCATGCTTAGATTTCCCCAGCTATACAAAATTACTCAAAATGCAGATGGATTCAACACACGGGTAAGGGAAAATGTTCTTTTGCTTCCATTTTTCTTTTCTAAAGAAAACTAGTGGTAAATGTGACTTGCAGTTGCATTTTTTTCAGCCTTAAAGACCTTATTCACTACTGTGCTACTCCAGTTTGTTGTCCGCGTAGTACCCTTGAAATCAGGATTGTCCTTGCTGCTTGTTTATTTCCATGGATTTTCTGTTGTTTCAAAATAACTTTTCTGAGCAATAACTAGTAGAAGTGATCTGAACTAGAATGCTGGGACTAGGTACAGACATTCAAAAAGCCCGAGGCAGAATCAGTCTAATCAATTGAAATCAACCTTATGCAGGTTTCTGTAAGCGGCATAAGTTAGTTAGGAGCAAACAGAACACATGATCATCCTTGGGTGGGTAGGGAGGCATGCGGGCGGCCTGCACTGGTTGAGGCCAGCAGGTTGGGAGCATTCCTACACACCTCCCAGTGGGCTCCCCAGGCTGCTGGAGACTGGTGAGCGCAGCTAGTGGCCGAGCCATCCCTGACTGGCTGCCAGGTCCATGTGGCAGAGCTTCCGGTTGCTGCCTCCACACCCCACTGCCTGGCTATAGCTGACAGCTGGCAGGAGATGGGGCTGGGGACAGAAACTTTCCTGGCTCAGCTCTGGGAGAGCCAGAGCTGGGTCTGTGGGGCAGAAGCCTCTATTACCTCTTCCTCCCACCCCACTGCCCAGCTGTGGCTGAGAGCTGGTCAGAGGTGGGGGTGAGGGAGGGGAAAAGCAGCCTAGGGGGCTGGTAGACAGCAACCTAACTTGAGTTGGTAGGGGATCTGGAACAGAAATTCTATATACTGGTCTAATCTAAATGGATTAAGTCTGATACCACATTGATCCAGGTCTATTTTAGACTGGGATCTGCCATAAACCACTCTATGTGCACTGAACTTCTGTTTGGTTATGGGTGTAGATAGTTTAAATGATCACATGCTGGTTTATGTGTACTGTCTGTACCTGGCCTGGTACTAGTTTCACCTAAACTTGTGGAACGTTCAGGTTAGATACATATCTGAACATGCACTTGAAACTTTCAGTTATCTCAACTTAGACTATATGGCCTATGTAAAGCTTTTAGAGAAGCTGGATTAGCTCCACATAGGTTTGTGTTTCC